TCGGCACTACATTCCTCTCAATGTGGACGCCGTGTCCTTTAAAATGGTTGACTATATTAACCATTTGAACACAACGTGGAAAGTATGCTTTATTTAATACAATTACGTGGTAAGGGTTGGCAGTAATCGCTATAATTATAAATTAGGCTCAAAGTAACTTTGAAGGCTATTCTATGGAGTATATCAAAGGTTTAATGGGTGTCCACAAAGACAACCACAGATACCGTTTGCCTATAATTACTCACGACATCCAGGATTTAGAAATTCCCGACGCGTTTGACTCGAGGACTCAATGGCCTCACTGTCCGTCTATTAGTGAAATCAGAGATCAGGGATCTTGTGGTATAAATAGCGCTTAAAATGCTATAATTAATACATGAAATGTCATTTTGATTGCAATTAGGGTCGTGTTGGGCTTTCGGTGCGGTGGAAGCCATGTCCGACAGAATATGCATCGCTTCTAATGGCAAACAAGTGGTGGAAGTGTCGGCTGAAGATTTGGTGTCGTGTTGTAGTTCGTGTGGATTTGGATGCAGCGGTGGCTTTCCTGGCGCCGCCTGGAACTACTGGGTTAGGACAGGTTTAGTGTCCGGAGGACTCTATAATAGCCATAAGGGATGTCAACCATATGTTGTGGCCGCCTGTGAACACCACACGACCGGCCAATTAAAGCCCTGCGGAGATATTGTGGTATTCATTATATTATTAATTCCCCAAAAATTGTTAACAAATACAAAATTAATTAAAATATTAAATGAATTGAAAGCCAACCCCGAAATGTGTGCACTTATGTGAGAGTGGATATAACGTTAGCTATAGTAATGACAAACATTTCGGAGTGAAGGCATATGGAGTGAGCGGTAATGTCCAACAAATTCAGGCCGAGATCATGAAGAATGGACCCGTGGAGGCGGACTTCACTGTTTACTCGGACTTTGTTAACTATAAATCAGGTAATTATTAAATCATATTTTAGTTTATAAGTAATTATAATAAGTTATTAATAATAAATTTATAAGTTGTCAAAAGTTTATAATTTTTTGGATTAATTTCGTGAAAATTAGGGGTTTATCAGAGACACAGTCACGAAGAACTTGGAGGCCATGCCATCAGAATCCTAGGCTGGGGTGTGGAGAATGCGGTGCCCTTTTGGTTAGTGGCCAACTCATGGAATTCAGATTGGGGTGACCAAGGGTACTTTAAGATACGCAGAGGATATGATGAATGCGGTATTGAGAGTGATATTAACGCCGGTTTACCCAAAGTTTAAGCATTTCATCAATTTTGTTTAATTACATAGAATACAGCAATGGATTTCTATTGTTAAATTAAAATTTGCAATTGGTCAATTATTATTATTATTACCCTATTATTACAATTATTGTAAACCTTATTTCTAACTTTACTATTAATAAATCCATATTACAGATAATTTACTATATTTTGTAATGTCATAAATAATTGTCAACAATCAGTTAAAAACAACTAAACAATACTAAAAATAATTACTTATTACTGAGGGATGTGTTATGAAAATAAAGAATACAATAAAAAGTGCATTTTGTATAATTAGATATTCAAAGAACATTATTGAGAACTAATTTAAAGTGTTATCTGACTCGAGATTTTAGTAATTGTTGCGAATATGGATGTTAGGGTAATATTTAGGAAATGTTTAGGGTCTATCTCAATATTTAGGCTAATTTTTCAACCACTATGTAAAATATGTATTTTTCAACCAATTTATTAGCAACATCTAAATGTATATTGCACATATAAACTAAATAAATTCAATAATTTCTGTAATTTAAGCCAAATTAACTATTATTATCAAAAATAATTGATTTAAACACTATTCAAAACATTTTAGTTACAGTGTATAGTAAATTTATCGTTATTTTCTACTACTGTATCGAATTTTAGAACTCATGCTTTAAGTAAAATATTCACAGAATATATGACAGAATTTCCAAAAATCTAAAATAAGATTTAATAACTTTGAAATATTTAGAAAACCAATACTTTTGGAAATTATCTCAAGTGATAATTGTTGCAATCAGTTTGCATAAAAGATTTCAACTAATTAAAAAACAATATAATTTCACATTTGTTATAAATATTTGGCCTATAAGTTTCAAAAGTTAGCCTAAATGAGATGGATTGGATTTTGATTGAAATGTTCATCTCTAACAAGTACAGTAAGTATATCATAATATTAATAATTTTGAGTTAAAATGAGGATACATTTAATTGAATTGAACAATGATTTTTAATGTATTGCATTTTAAGTGATTCTAATCATACATCAGAGATAAAGTACAGTATTAACAATAAAAATATTTAATTATACATTGTGTAACTCGTAAGTGCTTAGTAATAATCATAACTAGAATGTACTACTCTGTAACTAGAATATGGAAAATAACAAAAATAAGAAAATTGTGAAAACATTTGTGGAAAACTTAAATAAAGTGAAATAAAAACTTAAACTTTAAATAAAACACAATAAAGAATTTAAAAGTAAGCAATGATTTTGTGATGAGATTCTATTATATGTGAACTAATCAATTGTTTAGGCAGTGATTTGGCAGTAATTTGGCAGTGATTTAGTGGTATTAATGTTTAAGACAATTCTTGTTCATCGATGATGTCGTCCTCATCGCTAAGAGGCGAGTCTCTATCCAAATCGTCCTCCGGATCGTAATAAGCAATGTTTCCATTCGTCGCAATGGGCTTATAGTCTAATAAGTCGATTGCATTCACGCCATTGAGAGGACAGTCGTCTTCATCTGAATCGTCCGATATATCATCGATTCTATTCTTCCGAATATCTCTCAATTGACGTAACTTTCGAGTAATTCGCGACTCTTTGGTCCCATTGCTTGACTTGCCATCAGTTCCGTAATCAATATCTTCGTTCTCATCGAGACTTAATGTCTTCAGACAATATTGTTTAACAAAATTGTCGACTAATTTGTCTTCAATGCTCTGTAAATAGTCACCGCATTCCTCATCGGTTTCGAGTGATATCTGAATCGTTAGTTGCAATTCATTGCTTTCTTCGCCATCAATATATCGACATAAACCCAAATCAACCAATAATTTGCTTAAAGAAACAAATTGTGTTTCGGTTTCATTGTTGGACACAAACAGTCGAATAACATTAGAGCTGAGGTTTGGATCCACTTTCTGAGCGATTGACAACAAATATTTATCTTCTTTATTGCGCGTGAGATCACAGATGATATCATAAGTGATTGGTTTCACTTCTTGGACACCAAAAAGTGATACTTTAATCGCTTGGAATGGAAGCTCTTTGAGAAGATTGACAACAAATATTTATCTTCTTTATTGCGCGTGAGATCACAGATGATATCATAAGTGATTGGTTTCACTTCTTGGACACCAAAAAGTGATACTTTAATCGCTTGGAATGGAAGCTCTTTGAGATGCGAGTCTTGAATGGTGTACAACGAGTCCTTCAATACATTGGTCACAGTCTGGCCGTGATCTACAAGAAAGAGGTCCACCAAATGGTCTTTAATGGCCACCACTTTCGCCCTATTTAGCGAAGTTTCGTTGTAAACGGAATCAAAGTATTTGTAAAAACAGATTTGTTGAGCCGTTACTTCTGGCAACAAATTCAGTGATTCTAAACTCGCGGTCCATTTGTCTTCAAATTCTTGCAATCTTTTAATCCGATTCTCGTGAATGACATAAAACTCATTGATTGTCACCCAATCGCTGACCACAACGTAAGAGCTCTCGTCAACTAAACAAGAATTATAAGCCGATGTATTCAAGCGATCGTTTAACCAAATGTTAACAATTCTGTTATAATCTGAGTTGACATTCGAGAGTTTGCTGTCGTTTTGTTCGACATATTTGTGTTTAATAAGATATTCAGTTATATTGGTTTCAATATTGAGTTTTGCATTTTTCAATTTCTTTTGGACATTGAGTCGATTAATCCAAAAGACGCCATCAATTTGTTTGAGAATCCAAGCAGTGATTTCACTGATGCGATAGTTGTCCACCAATTCATACACTTTCTGTGTGGCTCTGAAATCCCATTCAATCTCGTTGTCAATCGGTTTAATACCAAACAAATAGCCTCTGAATGCGAACGGAGAATAACTCTTGAGATGTGCCGGCAATTCAAACAACTGTCGCGAATTAGAGCGCACTTTATGTCCGAAATCGATGCAAAATAATTCAACTTTTTGAGCCGTGTTTTTCGGATCGTAATCCTCATAGAAATTGATTTCTTCGTTGCCTAAGATTTGGGTCAAACGAACCCGAAATACTTGTCCACGAATTGCGATCCCATAAACCTCTCCGTCGACAACATCGGGAACCGTATTGAATGGCATATCTTTCAGAGCATTGAGCTCTTCTTTGATGTCATCGTATGTCAGACCAATCGATTGCCATTTGCCAGAGGTTTGGCTTTCGCCACGAAATTCATTAATTCTGAAGTAAAAGTGGTTTGCGTTCAACACAAACGTTATCCCAATTTTGATTTGGCCGCTCTTCGGGAGGGTCTCGACGGGTCGATCGCAACGACCGAATGAATGCATTAGCGGACAATCAAACGACTCGAATGGACACTTGGCTAACGAGCAATACAGAGGGCATAGAGATCTGCGCTCTAATCCATAGATTTTGGCCAATTCATTGGGAATCTTCATTTTAAGCCGTTTTAAATAAGCCATCAATTGTGGCATTTGCTGCCGATCTTCATGAGTGGCTATAATATAATGATTCAATTGGTGTGTGTTTTGTGTATTAAATACAGTCTTATATCTCTTGAGCCAACTTCTCATTAGTCGGAATCGATTGCCAAACGTCTCATTGAAATCATAAGGAAGTTTATAATGAATAATAGTCTGACATCTTTTAAAACCCGAGACTTGTTTGATGGCCGAGTCATTGATTAATAGGACTGTATTTCTGACCCATTGAGCGCTCAGTCGCTCCAAATCGTAATGATTTGTTTGATGGGTAACAACAATACACTTGTGTTTGGCATTCAGGCATTTCTGCAAATATTGAATTTCCTGGACTTTTGTGCAAACGATTGCAATTCGAGTCTTGGTTTGTTTACATCTCTCAAGGATTGCGAGAACTGTGTTCTCTCTTTGCTCTTCAGTTATCACTTGTAAATGACATTCAATTTTGAAAGCGATCGACAGTTCATAATAAGATCCAAACGAGACGAGAGGCATGTGTTGTATCTCTTTGGCGAACCATTCAACACCTTTTGTCCATTTCTCACAAAACACCATCGTTTGGAAAGCCATCCAATTCTTGTCCTTTAGACCTTCACATTCTTCTCGTCTGCATTCAAATATTGTATCATTTAGTCAATTATATCATTGTTATCAATATTCTCATAGCAATCACATTAATAACACAAATACAATTTAGCCATAGTTTTAACACAACTTTATCACTAATTATTAACACATATTAAGTAATCAAACAAATATACTTTGCTTTCCCAAAAGCGATATAAATCTCGCGAATAGTCTTAATGTGAACGTTAAGGCAAATGTCCGCCTCATCTATAATCAGATATTGAGTGTCGGAAAAGCCAATGACCTGTGGATTGGAAACCAAACATTAATGCAATCGATTACAAAGTTTGAGGCATTTGTCGGGCCTGTTTCTCAAAGGCTCGGAGCAGTGATTGTGGAGTTGTTATTAAGAGATCGCATCCATTGAAAAGAGTTGAGTACTGTTTCTCATCGTTTGATGAATTCAAAGACACGATTCGCACCGTTTGTTTGGCCTCTGGATCTCTCCACTGTCGGGCCTGTCGTGCGATTTCATAGGTCTGTCGAGTGGAGCTACAGATGATAATCGCACCTATATTTGGCTTTTCACTGCTATCGCAATCGTCAGGATTATCGAAGCGATACATCAATGGGATTAGATATGAGTTGGTTTTGCCACTCTTCGCACCAGAAATGCATGAAATGCTGTAACCCTTGAGAATGGATGGCCACAAATGCAACTCAAGGCTCACATCTTTGCAGTCAACTCTTTTGAGTCGACTTAAGAACCACTTATCGAAACCGAAAGCCTTTTGGTACGAGTCGTAAGCTTTGGGCGCTTTGAACGCACTGTAATCCAAACACGTGTCCAACGATTCATTGAAATCTGATATTCAATCAAAATAGTCATTCATTCAATCAATTCTAGACATTCATCGCAAACCTAATCTGTAATCCGCTTCCAATACATCCACATCTCGTTTTGGGGGTAAAAACACATTAGGGATCCAGTCTTTGGACACATCCTCTTCAGTCATACCGACGGCTATGTCTTCGTCCAACTCGTTATCGGATGAATAGTTTGATTGCATTTCAAGTTTGGATTCAAAGATAGCGTTGATCATAGACTCGACCTCATAGTCGGTCATGTCTTGAGTCAAGTGTTGGCCTCTTTTGTGGTCTCTATTGATCATCGCTTCGATATATCTGTCGTTATAATCAGTCAAAGAGACACTAGTGTTAGCGCAGGTCGTGTTGCGACCATCGGATCCCACGCGTCGACTCAACACAGCCCGAGAGCACAGGTCTTCGCCCCCGAAATGTGTGGCCACACGACTCGGCGACAGGTATTGCAGCTCATCGTCGGCCGCCGTGTCCTCCAAATGAGTCGACATTTTCACCACAAGTGATGGCAATGTGTTGTCTATGTGTTGGAAGTGATGGAAGTGTTGGCCAAACGGTTCACACTTTCAAATGGTTTGCTTTTTTAAAAAATGACGCAAACATACGATCACTGCTTCGCCACACCTCTAACCACACGTTTGGCTGCCATTGGCTTTCATTTCCACTCCAATCATACGATTCATAAGGAGTTGAATCGCATTCTCTATACACACCTCTCGTTGGCGCCACTCATGGCTCACATCACTCTGATTACAGCCAATGGCGGCGTTTGGCACAAACAGTGCTCTCTATAAATAATGTCTGTATTTGTAATTATATTTAA